TTAGTTGTGGGTCCCTCTAGTTGTGGCATGTGGGACGCCACCTCAACGTGACCTGATGAGCAGCGCCATGTCCGCGCCCAGGATCTGAACCCTGGGCGGCTGCAGCGGAGCGCGGGAACTTAGCCACTCGGCCATGGGGCCAGCCCCTCTATTAACTCTTAATTGTTAAATACAAACAAAACAATCACAACAATCTTTCTTTTATCTGAATCCCCTTCTAGCTATTGCTCCCTCACTCCTCTTCCCAGACTTTCTTCTAGCAAGAAGTATCTTGGATGTTATCCCCGTGTCTTCACTTTCTCTGGCTTCTGCTCACTTGCCTTGCTAAGGACACCACCAACTTCCGTGTTTACGTATCTAAAGAACACTTTACAATCCTGGGCTTCGCTGCTCAACAGCATTCTACACAGTGGATTTCTCACCATTTCCTGAAATATTTCTTTTCTTCTATCACTCTTCTGTTTACTTCCTCCTTCTCAGCCCCTTTTCTAGATGTCCTTTGCTCACTGCTTCTGAAGCTCGACTCTACCTCTTGGAGAGCTTCAGGGTTTAGTCCTGAGCCCTTGACTCTTTCTCCTTTTCTTCTTTCCTACAGTCTTGTTCCAGGAAACATGTGAACTCCCATAGCGTCAAATACCATGTAGACATTATTGACTCCTAAGCGCACGGCCCCACCTAGACTGCCAAATATGTGTAGCCAAAGGCATTTGGAAAAAGTGTCATTTCCATTAGACATCTCACATTCTGCAAACTCAGCATACCCAAATCTGAACTCCTGTTCCTCCTGCATTCCCAATATCAATAAATGACAGCTCCAGCCACTCAGTGAATCAAACTTGAGAGTTATTCTTTTTTTTTTTTTTTTAAGATTTTATTTTTTTTCCTTTTTCTCCCCAAAGCCCCCCGGTACATAGTTGTATATTCTTTGTTGTGGGTCCTTCTAGTTGTGGCATATGGGACGCTGCCTCAGCGTGGTTTGATGAGCAGTGCCATGTCCGCGCCCAGGATTCGAACCAACGAAACACTGGGCTGCCTGCAGCGGAGCGCGCGAACTTAACCACTCAGCCACGGGGCCAGCCCCTTGAGAGTTATTCTTGACTTTTCATGTCCTCTTCCCACCTCATATTCATATTTGTTGATTCATTTTCCCAACTATGTATCAAATTCTCCCATCTCTCCCCTTGTCTTCTGTCTAGGCTGATGTGGGGTTGGTGAGCCGAGGAGTTGAAAGAAGGATTTCTTGGACTCTCAAGATCTGGCGGTAGTGCTCTTTTATTTAGAGAATAGTGTGGAATAGCATGGGGACAGGACCCATGGGCAGTCACAGCTGCTGCTGGCATGGGGAGCTGCTGCTGCAAACATGGGTGGAGAGTAAGGCTAAATTTAAGGCATAAGTATGTGAGTTATCTCTTTACAAGACAAAGGAAAGAATATGTAAAATGTTAAAATGGTATCAGTGCAGATGGGATCTGGCTATTGGGTGGTCCTATAACTTTTAGATAAGAATCAACTCAGATTAAGTAAAGGCCAGAAGCCACCACCCTAAATACTATCTTCAGCTAAAGACAAAGGAGGATGTTGGGGGTGGGGGTCAGTTACATGAGGTTGCCAGACAGTAACAACTTAAGTCCTTGCCTTCCCCATTAAGAGTTTCTAGAGATAAGGTCATCTCCCTTCTTCCTGGCACAGAGAGGAGGCATCTTTACAGATGGAGGTTTCCCTTACAAATGTAAATGTTTCCCAACAAAGGGCAAGCAAACCCTGCTCCTCAGAGTTGCTTTTATTAAAGGTAACCGGCCCCCTTCTGATTTGCAGTTTTAAAAGTAACCAGCCTAAAATAATCCTCATCATAGGCCATATCACTACAAGCTCTTACCTGAACAACTACAATACTCTTATTTTTCATTGCTCTTTTTCAATACCTCCACCGTGAGTCTATCCCACAGAGCGATCAGCTATGATGTTCCTCTTCTCAGAATCCTTCAGTTGCTTCCCACTGCCTCTCTCCCATTCTCATTTTGTCTCAGCGTCTCCTCATTTTCTGAGTTTCCAACTTTTGTTGTTATAATTAATATGATTTTCTTAAAAGTCCATATGTAAATCTTTGGAGGATTTCCTGACAATGATAGTAGGATAAATCCCTTGAAATTGAACAACAGGGTCAAAGGCTCTTAAAGTATTGCACAATTTTGGAGACTTTAAAGTCAAGCAGACATTGATACAGATCTCTGCTACCTACCCTCCCTATGACTTTGGAGAAGTTGCTTATCCTCTTGGATCTTTCTTTAATATCTTAATCTATGAAATGGGGGAATAATATTTACCTTGGAAGAATACTCAAAATATTAAGCAATATGATATTGCAGCTCTAATGCTTTTTAGCTGTGTAACCTTGGACAAATCAATTAACATCTATGTGCTTCTGATTCCCTACAGGTAAAATGGGAGTAAAATAAAATAATTACCTACCTCATAGGATAGATGTGGAGATTAAATGAATCCACGTATATGTAAAACACACAGGACAGCACTTGACCATGAAATGCGCTGTATAAATATAGCTATCATATGTCTGTAAAGTGTGTAATACAATCTTTAACACGTAGTAATTTCTCAACAAAGGACAATTATTTTTACACTGCCAAATATTTGCCAAAAATACCATACAAGTTACACTCCTGCCAGCAAGCAAAATGCAAGATCGTCCATTTTGTTTCATTCTAATTTACAAGTTTTAAAGTTAAAAAAATATTACTAATTTTATATCAGAATATCATTTTAATTTGTTTATTGGATTGCTAGACACATTATCTATTTCCAACATTTACTGATCATTTGTACTTCTTTTTTGACATGCCTAGCTAGTTTCATCATCAATTTTTCTAACAAAGGATTCACATTTTTCTCATTGATTAAAGTATCTCTACATGTGAAGAATGTTATACTTATGTTTGTCTTATGTGTTGCAAACCTCCTCCTTTCTCATTTTTCATTATTTCAATTTGAATTTTTATGTACAGATTATAAAAAACAATTTCTGTAGTTAATATAACAATTTTTTTAAGCATTTAACTTTCTGTGGTAATTTGAAAAAATCTATACTCTCCATTCAGGGTAGACTAATATTTA